AAAGCTTTTTCAAGATCCCATGGGGAAAGGACGTATTTATATTTATGACTAGGGAAATATCATCTCTGAACACATTTGTGAAAGGTGTGGATCAAAAATGGCACCTAAATAGCCAGTGTGACAAGTTATTCAGACAGATATCACATCTTTTTACTGTGTTTTTTTTTTTTACTTGTTGAGCCTTTGAGTGGTTTAGCAATGCTTTTTTAAGGTGGATGATATATTTTTGGATGATATATTTACCTTTGATTTTGGGATACTGAAAGATATCACATGATAACATACACTTTTACAGCAAACACTGTAACGAGTATAATTTAAATACAGCTTTAATGCATGGCTTGTTCGATTAAATTATAAAACCACAAAGATTTTCAGTATAAACCCTCTCATGCTTGCCCTGTAGTTTTGTACTGTTCAAAATGCCCAAATCCCTGATAAATTAGGTTGTAAATGGATTAGCTATGCAATGTCAAACACATTCATTCATGGATGTCAGGAGGAATGTTGGCTGAGCAGCAGAGTGTGTGAAACAACAGCTGAAGAGCAGTGACCTGTGTTTCCCCTGCAAAACTGCAGGTGGCTACCTCTGTCCCGTCCCTATTCTGTCATTGAGGAGGTCAGGTAGGTAACTTATAAAGTGCTAGTGGGTGTCCTGTAAGTTGTCTTGTTCAGTTTCCTGAAGGGGCCCAACGGACGGTCTTTAGACAAGCTGTTGGGAAGCAACTCATATAGTATTCATTTTAAAAACAAATCCTACTTTTCATTCGAAAAGTTTGCCAAACTTACAACCTTTTTTTCACACCATAATTCACCCAGATAAGGTAAATATAACTGACAAGGACCCCAGATCTTGCCACCATTTAATGCTGTATCATTTCCTTATGCTTCATGTTCTCTGCTAGCAGTATTCTTAAAATTTGTGAATCTTTCCATATGTACAGCAGAAGACCGCAGATTGGGATATGAATGGTAGGGGCATGTCACTACCACTATTGTGGGAGTACCACATGTGTTTAGATGGCACTGAGTTTGGGGCTGATTTGGTACCTACCCTTGCTGAAACCAAACCTATGCCCTTGGTACAGCATATATATCCAAAAATGTTTAGACAATGTGGCCAGGAAACTTGATTCACTCACTAGTTGAGACCATTAACACATTGTTAGTTATTAAACAGGTTGAGGGCTCAGTTGATCCATTCAGCTGATATAGCTATTCCTGACTCGAGTACATGACCTTCAGGCTTTACTATTTCTAGTACTGGGCAAGTACTGCAGTTTCAAGTACTGTGGTCACACTAAGGCTCTGGAAGTCTGAAGATGAAATACCCCGCATATTGGTCACTATCACCATTTCCTGCCTGCTTTAAACATTTAGACTCAAATCTTAAAATTTGGACTACATAAATTTGGATTTTGTCATTTTGTTCATTTAACTTCCTCTGCTGGCCCCTGAAGGATGGGCTCCCCCTTTTGAGTCTGGTTCCTCCCAAGGTTTCTTCCTTCTAGGGGGTTTTTCCTTGCATCTTTTACCTCTGAATTGATCTCTGGGGGCTTTGGGCAGGGACAGTGTAAAGAGCTTTGAGACAATGAAATGTTGTGAAAATGCGTTAAACAAATAAAATTGAATTGAACTGGTCAATGATCCAGTTTGCCATTACTGGTGACACAATGCTGTTAGAAATAATAACTGTTAATATTGTGCCCCTTGGGTAAAATGGCTCCCCAGGGCCCCACAGGTTATATACTGTAGTATTTCTTTAACAGATCAAAAAGTTGTCACTTTGGCTGTCCTCATTCCCACCAGTGACATAAATTTCCAGCAGTATAACATATTAGAGAGCCATTTTGTGTGTTAAAAACACAAAAAATAGTACAGTGGTACCTCAGAACTCGAACTTAAACTGTTCAGAACTCGGGTTTGAATCCTAAAAACTTGGAATTCTGATCAAATTTTCCAAATAAGGAATAATAGAAAACCAATTAATTGGTTCCTGGACCCATAAAATTACACCTAAATATGTTTTTTTTTTAGCATTTAAACACAAAATGAACAGGATAAAACAAGAAGAGCATTTTTTTCTTAATGGCTTCCAAAATGATAAAAAATGTACCCCAACACTACCCCAGTCCTGCCCCGATCGTCTGCTCCTTCCGTGTGCCACGTCCCCTCATTAACCTCGTGTGGAATCCCTGTGTGATCAGCTGTTTCTGGTTGTTGTCATTAGTCCTCTGTATTTAGTCTGCGTTTCAGTTTGTTTCCCCAGTTCGGTCATTGTAACGTCATTGTCTTGTTCTGCCTGTTCTCAATTAAACCCCATGTTTCCCAATCGCTTGAATCCTGTCCCTGCTTTCCCGGTCCCGGCTCGGCAGTTCGTGACAACCCCAAGCCATGCCCGAAAACTGTACCAACACCAGACTATGCCATGCGGTCCATTGTTTATTTTTATTATTACTCTGTATTCATTAATTTGTTCGTAAATCGCAAACTTTTAGGTTGTAACATTTGTACAACTTTTGTGTAACTTTTTGGTGAGCAATGGCTACCAAAATGATATAAAGTACAGTGTATTACCTGATACAGTATTTTTAATTAAAAAAAAAAGCACTATGACCAACAAACGATGCTATCACAGCAAATGCGAGGCTGAGACTGAAGCGTTACCCTTTGTTTCCATTGAGAGACGTGCCGCGTGACTCATTTCCCTGCGCATACAAGTTATCTTAGGTCAGCGTTCACGGTTCGACTTCTGAGATTCAGATCGAGTTCTAGGTAATTTTTTTTCGAACTGGTTGGTTTGACTTTTATGAAATTTGAATTCTAATGAGTTTGAGAACTGAGGTACCACTGTATAATAGTGTTTGTGGATGTAGGTAACCTCTAACAGGCAACACTCCCTGAATTACTGGTTAGATTTTTGGTTTGTTTGCAAAAGCAAGATCTTTGTCAAGAAATGGCTCGCTTTTTGAGGAGAGCCTGGCTGTTATAGGAGAGCCAGTTTCCATACTAACCGGAGGGGACAGTAGTACATCCATCCATTTGTCATACTGCTTATCTAATACAGGGTCATGGTGAGTTTGGAGCCTTTTCCAGGTAGCGTGGAGCAGAAACCAGGAGTATTCCCTGGACAGGATCAGTAGAATTATCATGAAATATTGTAAACAAATGTCCTATCTGAGCACCACCCAGCCCCACATTGTAAACTGCAGGTTCAACAATACCCTTCTATTCATTTGTAGGGGCTGGCTAAGCATCTCAGTGACAGAATCATCAGAGCATAGCAGCCATAGGTGAATCAAGAGTACAATTCATGATACCAATAAAATCAAATACAAAACCTGTCTACATGGCTATTTTGAAATGCCAACTCTTAAGTTTTCAGGAAACACAGTTATCCTAGTCAATATACCATCAAATATCTTCCTTATGATCAATACCTGGCTTTGGAACACAGATACCATACCTTTAGTTTAAAGATATTCAAATGTTTTGTCTTTATGCAAGAGAGTGACATGGATGTTGTCACCATCATGATCAAAATCTTAATGGTGCAACCAATAACTTTTGTATTTATCTATCCCTTCATCCATCCATACATTCAATTCCTTACCCTCTTCTGGGTCACAGGGGGTCCAAAGCCTTTCCCAGAGGCTATGGGTGTAAGGTGAGGAACAACCGAGGATGGGGCACCAACCCATTGCAGGGCACACTCACACAGTATGGGCAATTTGGTAACTCCAATTAGCCTCAGGATGTTTTTGAACTGTGAGGGGAAACCAGAGTAGCTGGAGGAAACCTACAACAACATGGGGTGAACATGCAAACTCCGCACACATGGAACCCAAGCAAACATGAACCCAGGTCCCAGAGGTGGGAGACAATAGTGCTAGCCACTGCACCATCGTGTCACCCCTCTCAGATGTTTAATGAGACCCCTATCCTACAGCTCAGTCCAGCTCAGCTGGACAGGCATCTTCCTCACAGCACCCTGCACCTTGTATCTTGTGTCTTGTGTTTCCTGCAATAGGCTCCTGACTTGCTGAAATGCTGGGTTGGATAAATAATTAAGCAAGCTGAATAGATGAACATTTGATATCCTGTCCAGAGTATTCCCCGACCTTGTTCCCTCTACTTCCTGGGATAGGCTCCAGGTTCTCTGTGACCATGTATTGGATAAACATTTCCAGAATATGGAAGTCTTTTCAGTTACTACCATACAGGTGTCATAAGGATGGTCTGTGGGTGTCATGTCAGTATTATCATGTTCTTTTCTGGGTGTCTTGTGGGTGTCATGTTAGTTTTGGGGATGTCTCAGAGAATAACCAACATGCATCCTGTGGACACTGTGGGTATTACCCAGTTCTAAAATAACTTATTCAGACTAATATCTTCAGGTCTAGCAGGTGGGTTATTGCTGATGTGGAGCACAGATGCACTCTCTGGGCTCCAGCACTGAGAAAGGCTGTCCTTCTATTGGGTAAAAAGAAAGAATCTAACTAAGAAGAAAAGGAACGGAACCAAGTATCTGAACAAGTGCTACTTCACACAGAGGTCAAAGACACATCTATGAAGACAACAACAGGACCTTAAGTGGACACTTGGATTAAAGGTCAGTCCAGTAGGGATGGCTGAATGACTTTTTTGTTGTCTAAGTTCATGTACTGTACTTCAGGCCAAATTAGAGAAGTTCAAGGATAAGAACAGGAATAAAAAAGTGCCTACACCCCATCCAGAGAATCTTCCCTTGATGCCATTGTGAGTGAAGGGAGCTACATTGATTTCTTATGTGTAAAAAGCAGCATGTGTGAAAAGGTGCAGCGATGGTCTCTTGTTCTTGTACTCTGGGGGTTTGTGAGAGAGACAATGCACAGCATGCACCCTTTCTGCACATAAACATAGTAGAAAATACCCTCCTTTGACACAGGGGAGATGGCGGGAGGTGGGAAAAGGGGGTAGCCATGGTAACTGGAAGAACGTTCACACAGAGAAGGACCAGACCCATGATGATCGTGAATTTATGCTTTTCAGTTCAAATCATAGGTTACAAATGACTTTCAGGTCTACAGAGGACGCATTACACCTTTTAAAATCCACTTAATATCCAGACCACATTACCTGCAACTGTCACTCAATGTTAAAACCTAAATGATTCAACAGTGGTGATAAGAACAAAAAACATTCAGAAACCACATCCACCTCACTACTGTGACATTTGACACAATCTTGGAAACAAGTGCAACAGTGCGAAAGTGGGACACATGTAGCAGTGCATTACTTTTGTAAAACTGACACTCCCCCAATAACAAAGCCTTCAGAAACATTTGCAGTTAGCTAAAGGAAGCCTATAAAAGGGTGTACAGTATATACACTAAGAGCAGCTTAGACATTAAGTTCAAAACCCCACTCAGACCAGGTTTGATTGTTCACAGCTCAACAGTGAAAAAAGTCTTCAATATGCTTAAGTAAACTTATTAATATTACTCTATTCTTAAGACACTCTGGATTTTTAATGCTTCTAAGCTGAATGGCAACAAACCTCTTAATTTAAGCCTTTTTTCTGCATTTCTCTCCTAGGCAGGTTGCTTAATAATTTAAGTATACAAATTCATGATTGTGAAGCAGGTGCTGAAAGCCCAACCACTATTCAAATAATTTTTAGCAGTTTTTTTTTTCCAAAGTCCCCCATGTCATCCAGGCTAAATGGATTTTACCTTTTCCCCCCATTGTGACTGATCATTTGTCACTGTCTACACCAGCACTGAGAGAGTGGGTGTTGCCCACAGTAGGAGGAGATTATGCATCTCATTGGCTATAGAAGCATCATTTCTGCAGTTCCGTAAAAAGCCTGACAGAGACTGACAGTATTATAATGCGTGGCACCCCAGGATGGGCCATCATGTGACAGGGGTGATAAGCCTTTTATGGAGGGGGGTGGGGTGCTAATAGCTCATGCTTACTCTGTGTGTCTGTAGTTGGTGAACAGGTTGTAGAGGACCCTCAGAGTGGACTTCAAGATTATGTTGACAACATCTGAAATGTGTACATTCAAAACACAGATTCAACATACAAAACATACGTTGGATCATATTTACATTTATAATGATGTGATAGTTTCTCAGTTGAATCAGTACATGTTTATGTAAGCCTACATATCACAAAGGAATCTGTAGCAGGGAATGTTGGCTTTTTATTGAAGCCATAATTTCAGTAAAACATCACCTTACTTTTGCTTCTGGTATAAATTAGAGACTCGGAAGCCTGAGGACTTTGCAGCTCTCTGACTTAAAGTGCATTTTACCCAAACTGATGGAAACAGCTGCTTTTTTATGGTAATAACTGAACTCACAGGCCTTCATAAAGGCTTATTTTTTAAAGTTTGGGGTGTAATCAATAAAATATTATAATTACTAAATTCAGAAATGCACGACTTGTTAATTACAAAATGACCAAAATAAGTACTACATTTTCACAAGAAAAACAAATACCAAATTATGAAACTTGCAGTTCATCTCTACAACCGTGGCCAAGATAAGCTGTTAGAATATGGATGGATGAACGTCTACAAATGAACGTATGACATCTTTAGGGATATTTTAAATGTTTCATTTGATTTCATATCAGTGTTACAGTTTTAACAATAATATACTATTTTATTTTAAATCTTTTGGAGGATTTGTGCTTTTTAATGTACTTACCCATATTTAATATCCAGTTTTATCATGAATATAATATCATAGGGTCCACACAAGGAACAAAAATATATTGTATTTTTTATGTTAAATTCCATTCATAGAGAAACATCAGTACCTTCAGGGCGAGATTTGGGCTTCTTGAGTCCTGCATCCTGCATCAGCTCAAAGGCAAAGGCCACGTTGTGCACCTGTCGGAAACCCATGGAATAGTGAAGTGTCAGAGCACCACCTGCTGGTTCACCACACTGTAACACTGTGTGGATAAGGCACTAAATCTGTATTAGCACAACCACCCGGCCATGAATAGTGCCTACCTTCTGTTCAAAGTTCTCTGGTGTGAGATAGAAGTTGTACAGGGGCACAAAGTACCCCTCCAGTAGACCCATCAGCAGCACCAGGTAGACCCCATCTGCAAACTGAACACAGAGAGACATAGGTTAGGAGGAAAGGAATGGGTCATCACAGAAGCGTGGTTGCCTAGGTTACTGAATGCTAAGCGGTTCACAATTTCATTCAGCCCACAGGAGCTCCATTTGAGTACCTGAATGGGGCCTCACCTGTGACTCCAGCTCCGTCACCTCGAGGTTGAGTTTGTTCAGGTGTTTATTCACAAATGTGATGAGAGACTGTCAGGCAGGAAGCAGAGTCACAGACATTAAGGACGTAGCAAAAGCTCAGTGTTCGATATCAAGGAGGTATACACGCAGGGGGGGGGACAGAGAACTCAGCTAAATCAGCTCACACTCAGGAAATTTTACCATCTTAACTACGTTGAGCTTGTCAGGGGCATGATCAAGCAGAGTGTCAAATGCATCTCTTTCTGGAAGAAAAGTAAAAATGTGTGACATTGCATTGCTCAGAGGAGATCAAGTACATAGAAAAGGGAGATGGGAAATATGAATGTTCTGTCTTGAACTGTTCCAATTACTTACCAAATTTCCTCAGCATCATTCTGAAAAACAAAGGTAGAAAATGAATTGCATGGATATCAGACAATGGCTTTAAGTTTGTGACAGCATTTTTGGCCTGTATTAAAGCAAGCTTTTTTCAAGAATTAACTGACAGTCTTGAACACATACCAATGTTGAAAGGAACACTTAACATTAACAGTACCTGGGTCTAGGCATCGACATGCTGGGAGCCAGCCTTTGTAATTCGTCTGAAATTTAAGGCTTAGTAAACTTTGGGCTTTAGTGCCCAGTAACAGTCTTTCTAATTGGGTAGGACTGTTCTACCAAGTAAAAGTCTTTCGCACTGGCCAGAGCACTTACTCATTGGTAGTAGTTATCTCCTTGGTCACATGGGATGTCTGTAGTATGCCATCTCTTTTCTGTTTCAAATAAAGCATATATTATACTAGGAGCCTTTTAGAAGATTTTTTTATCTGCAGTTAACTGGTGTTTACATGACATTGTATCTGTGTTAAGGTGATACTATATTTGCAGTCAATCAGTGTTAGGGTACTGCTATATCTGTAGTAAAGCTAGGTTGGTGACACTATATCTGTGATTAACCTCCGTTAAGGTGTTGCTGTCTCTCTGGATAACCAGTGTTGTTGAGATGACATCTCACCTTGACCAGCACTATCTGTACGGAGACGTGCTCCGGCAGGCGGATGGGGGCCTGGAAGTGCATGGCCAGGGCCACCAACAGGGACACGATAGCCACCAGGTTCTTGGAATGGACAGCTGCGTGAACAGAGAGGTCAGCTGCTGCGAGAACAAGCCCAGCCATCAGGAGCCGAGGCTGCCTGTGGAGGAACTGGGGTCTCTCGTGCAGAATGAGGCTCTAAATTACAAGGCTGTAAAGTTGTGCGGTCAGGTGGTCAGAGCTATGGCCATGAGGTCAAGCAGGCAGAGCTATGGCCATGAGGTCAAGCAGGCAGAGCTATGGCCATGAGGTCAAGCAGGCAGAGCTATGGCCATGCATTCAAGTGATCAGGGCTATGGCTATGCAGTCAGGTGATCAGGGCTATGGCTGTATAGTCAGGTGGTCAGAGCTATGGCTATGAGGTCAAGCAAGCAGAGCTATGGCTATGCAGTCAGGTGGCCCGGGCTGTAAAGCCATGTAGTCAGGTGACCAGGGCTGTAAGGTTGTGTGGTCAGCTGATCAATGCTGTAATGTGAAAGCTTGAGTGTCCCCTGAAGACCCACAATCCACACTCCAATCGATGTCCCAGCCATGGGGCCTCAGCAATTGGTTCACAGCTCCCAGAACCATTTTCAGCTTCTGCTTCTGACCAATCTCTGACTGCGTCACCTCTGCCATGTTCAGCATCCATCGGGACAGCTTCTCTGCACAGGGGGTGACATTCAGGAAGATATTGAGGTCTAATTTATGTGCCCCCACAAGGCAGGTCAATAATCTAGTTAACAACTAATCTGTAAACACAGGTTAAGTTTGCATCTTATATGGAATTTACAGTTAGGAGTCACCAAACAGGAATGTCTGAATTTGAGCTGTAGCAGGAGCTACAATAAGGGCGTACTCACACTAGACGATCCGTTCTGTGCCCAAGCACGTTTGACCCCCCAAAATTCAGTTCCTTTGACTAGTGTGATTTCTCTGTACCATGCCCGAGCTTGCTTGCTTGATAAGGTGGGTCAGAGTACGGTTAATCTAGGCTACGTCCGAATTCAGGGGATGCATCCTTCGAAGAATGTGGTCTACGAAGGTGTAGCTTTTGTAGGCTGCTGCATTCTTCGAAGGTCGAACCGAAAGCATTGTCAAATGGGAAATTCTACCCCAGGGGTCTCAAACTCCAGTCCTGGGGGGCCGGAGCCCTGCACATTTTTGGGTTTCCCCTCATTTAACACACCTGATTCAATTCCTTGTGCTAATTACCACACAGCTCCTGAGCTGAATCATTTATGGTGGAACAGGGAAAGAACTAAGCTACACAGGGCTCCGGCCCTCCAGGACTTCTGTTATCAAACATCACCATTACGCTCCACTGTAAAGAAAAAAAAAAAAAAAATATATATATATATATATATATATATATATATATATATATATATATATATATATATATAACAGATTATATAAGCGTCCATAAATGTTGCAGGAGTTTTTTTCTACTTTTTTCTGTTCATCTGCAGAATAAACATTAAAAAAACTTCTTGCGCAGCACATTATGCTTGATTATCTAACTGCTTAAAACACAACATAGCATAATAATTTGTAAGTACAGATGCTAGTTTGATGATGTTAATGTAGCCTGTTTGCTATAAATCCACACTAAACAGATAAGAATGTTCCAGCAGGAGTCGTGGCAGAAATTATGGTAGAAGTCACAGTGGATCTCCTATTAATTTAGCACTTACCAAACAGCTTCTGTAGCACCTGCCCATCATACAGGTCTTCTTCCAGGTCCTTAACAATGATCCTCTCCTCCACCAATTCATTGTTAATCCAGTCAATCAGCAGCTGGGTACAGTTAGAACCCTGGTCACCCTCCATCCTGGGAGTAATGGAGGCTTCCAGACCGTTACCCTCCTGCTGCATTGACACTCACCCTCTGCAGTTCTTTAAACTTGGGGTTTTCCCTCGAGCTGGGATCCAGCATGCTCCTCTCTGTGTTATCATCTGAGTGGGAGTTCAAAGCAAGAGCAACATCTAAACACGCTGATTATAGACACACTAATACATGCACAGACACTCACCACTGAGAAGGGCAACACTGTCGATTGGCACACTTTAATATATTTATACATACATATATATTTCTTTTTTTAATTTTAATTTATGGATAATAAAATGTCCCTGCTTAGATTGCTGTCCCCATGACCTGACCCTGGATAATCAGCAGCAGAAGATGGATGGATGGATAATAAAATGTGTTTCTTGTATTTAATCACTGATTAACTGATACTCAATTCTTAATTTTTTTCCATGTGAACATCTATCCCTCATCTAACAAAAAGTGTAGTATAACAAGATTGAATAACAATACATCTGCTTAGTTAGCTACAGAATAGTAATTCATTTGTCAATAAAGGGAAGTGATAAGGTTATACTGTGTATAATGTTCCAATAGTGACCTCTGGTGGATTGAGAGAGAAATGACTGACACTGAAAGCAGACCCTTCCTGGATGCTGACCTTTACAAGATAAGAGTGACCTGAAAGAGCATTACCAAGCAGTGTGTTATCAGGCAGTGCATCCACTCTTGGGGCCAGAAGTGGGGCATTGATGGCCTGTTTGCCTTCTTCCAGGTGCTCATCCACTGTACAGGACCAAAGGGAGGAGGATAGAGACTTGGAGGAAGATGTTTTCCTTAACAATTTAAAGCTTTGGGAGATGTGCCAAGAAACTCATACAGTCACACGAATCTGGGGTCTACCAGAGGCACATTACTCTAAGCCCACACTGTACCCTAACACTTGTCCTGTAATGTTACACATTACACCAGACCCCACATTGTCTCCTAAGACCCGTCCTGTACTTACACATTACCCTAACCCCATGCTGTGCCTTAATACCTGTATGGTAATGTTATACATTACCAAAACCGCACACTGTACCTTAGCACCTGTCCTGTAATGTTACACATTACCCCAAACCCCACATCGAACCTTAAGACCAATGCTGTAATGCTACACATTACCCTAACCCAGTGGATCCCAAACTGGGGGGTGCAGAGGTATTGCGGAGGGGCGCACCAATGGGATAGCCTCATGGGCATGTGCCACCCTCAAATAATCTCTTCACAGACTGGACGATTAAACAAATAAAGCAGTGCAACATTACAGTAAGTAACAATAAATAAACCACTAACTTACGTGTACTACTAGAGCATTTATGTCATTTATTTAAACTTTATTTTACCAGGTAAATTAACTGAAAACCAGTTCTCACTGCTTTACGTGATATTCGAGAGAAATAGCAGATAACGCTTCGGAACTTTCTGGGATACAATCTTCATACAAGTTTCATGTTCTTCAACCTGTTTAGTTTGAATGGAGGGGCTCAATAATGTTCCTATCTAGAAATGGGGGGCCTTGCAGAGAAAGTTTGGGAACCACTGCCCTAACCCCATATTGTACCTTAATACCATATTTTACCCTAATGTTGCATTGCACTCTAACAGCATAACGTAACCTCACACCATCCTGTACCCTAACACCAGACTGAAATATGTCAATACTGATCTAATTTTACATATAAACTAGGGCTGTCAAAATAAACGGGTTAACGCGGATTAATCCATCATCATGATTAATCTCATTAAAAAAAAATTACGCAATTAACCCATCTGCAGCGCAGAATGACTCAAAATCCCTGAAATGTCTCTGTCAACTCATTTCAGGCAGTTTTGGTGCGTTCCATTTGCCTTGGGAACTCGTATTCCGAGTCGGATTCCGAGTTTTGAAGTCGGAAGTGACAACATGCGCACTCCCATATCTCGAAGCAGCACAGAGGATCCCAAGTTCAGAATCCAAGAAGGCTGCGCCTTTTATCAACAGAAGGGAAAGTTGTAGTTTTATACTGTTTAAGCACTACTTCTCATTTGTGGCTCATTAAAT